CCCAGCTGGCGGGTGCTGGCCGAGAGGAACCAGAGCGTGGTCCCTGTGGGTGCCTGGGTGGAGAGCGCCCCGGGGGAGCCCCAGGAGAGCCCGGCCTTCGTGAGTGCTGCCGCAGGGGTCCCGGGCACCATCCGGGTGTGTGGGTCATGCCAGGGTTGTCTCCAGCCCCCCCAAATTGTGCCAGTGAACCCTGTGGGGGCAGTCAGAGGTGAAAACGAGCTTTATCTCTGTTTGAAGGCAGCCAGGAGTGCTGCTCCTAGAAAAAATCGTTTATTTTGGTGGGTTTTGGTAGGGTCAGAAGCCACCGCGGTGTCCACGTAGCCTGGCGTCCTGTTCATACAAGCCCTGAGGTGATTCCCCTCAAATAAGCTATGGGGTTTTTTAGGAGAAACGCATTGGTTTTAAAAATCAGTCAGGTGAGGAATCCCGCCGGTGCTCTAATCGGCTGCCACTTATTGCTTGATCCATACTGTGCTCTCTGCGCTTTTAATTTTAGCTGGACCTATAGATTTTCAGCGTGTTACTGGAAGCTGCCTTCCAGCAGAGGTAGCACAGCTAAAACCTAAGTTTCTGTCCCCCCCGGTGAGTTTTTCCTCACCATTCCCAGATGCTCCTTGGTTTACCAGCGCTGGGTCTCGAGCTCCACGCCTCAGCTTTGTGTTTGAGGTGCCTCTGCAGTACCCGGCTCAGCAGCCTCCCCGCTCCCTGTATCGATGCTGCTCTTCGCGTTCCCGCTCATCCGTAAAGGATGTCGGTGAGCCAAGGTTTTATTCCATGTTGCTGATTTGGAAAAGAAAAAAAATAAGTTGAATGTTTTAGGGTCTGGAGCCAATCTCTGCTGTACCCCATTAGAAACACTTAAGAAATCTTTATTGATGCTTATCTCGGGGATTTCTGCTTTGAGGGTTATTATAAGAGGACTAAAAGTGCATTAAATATAGGATGATGAGTTCAGTCCCCTGTAATTAATGTCTAAATGTTACAGAAGCTCCTGCCCTTCTGAGATGATTTATTTCCATATTGTAATTTAAATCCTGAAAGGTTGAGATAATATATGGAAATGAATCATCTCCATATTCTACATAACTTCCACCTTGGCACCGTGAAACTTCTGGGGGAGCCAAACTCTTCCCGAATGCTTCGGGGGGCCGGGGTGCTCCTGGTCCTCCCCCCGGCGCAGGAGCTTTGGGGTCCTTCAGGTGTGGGTGCAGGGCTATCAGAGCTTATTTAATACGCTTTTATACGCCAGCGGATCATATTAAAAAAATAGATAATAATGCCTCCTGCATCAGAATTGCTAATGAGGTTGCCAACGGGGAGCGGCGCGAGCTGTCGACGGTGCCGTTCCGTGGAGCTCTGGCTGGGTTTCATCGTTACCGGTGCAGGTTTCTCCCCCTCTCCGTGCTTTCTTTGGTTGTGCTGACCTTGCTTTGCTGCCGGTAATGTTCCTGGCAGTCAGCACTACGTGAGGGAGCATCCGACCCGGCATTCACTACGCTGATTTTCAGACTCACCCCTTTCCTCCGTCCCTTTACTCATTATTTTTATTTTTTTTTTGCTTTAGGCCGTGCTGCGGTGCCAGCTAGGAGAGCAATACGGCTTTTCTTTAAACTGTGGTAGCATCAGCAGAATTGCTTGGCGTGACTTCAAGTCACAACCTTAAAAAAAAAAACCAAAAAAACCCCAACCCAACCCCAAAAAATCCCCCCAAAAAAACCTGATTATTTTTAAGGTCATTGCTTTTAATCCTTTACTTCAGATGGTGAAGGCGTTCTCAGAGCGGTAGCCTTGCCTGTGAACGGCTTCCTGGAGATGCCTCCAGCCTTGCAGCGCGTTAATGGGATCGGAGGCCGGCCCCTGCCTTTAGGACCCGGGCTTTGAATGTCGGAGCGTCCTTTTGTGGGCGCAGGGGTTAGGAGTTGCTGTACGAGGCTGCCTTCTTTTCTCTCCCTGTGTGCATTGCAGAGAGTTAAAGGAGAGTTAAAGTGTGCACGCTCTCTGTCTGGCTAGATAGCTTCCATCCCTGCTCGAAATAATTTAGCAGACGCTGCCCAAGCTGTTAATGCACAGATTTTGAGACAAAACATCGATAAGTTTGCTCTGGGTGCTGCTTGCCCGGCTCGTAGGCGCAGCTGCGGGAAGGGCAGATGGGACGCAAGCTGCTGCAGTGCCGTGGTGTAGCGAAACTCGTGTGAAATCCCCTTTCACCTCTTGCAGGCTTCGGCGTTTCAGGTGGAGGAGGAGCTGAAGGAGCAGCAGCGGGAGAAGGCAGCCAGCCTGAGGCGTTTCCAGGGAGAGGTGAAGCAGCGGGTGAACCAGCAGGTCAGGATGCGAAGGAAGCAGCAGCTGCTGAAGTCCTACGAAGCGGTAAGCAGAAACTCCTCCAAAACTGGTGTGAATCGGGGGGGAAAAAAACCCCACTTGACCTCAAGTCAAAGTGTTAATAAGAAAAAATGAGGAAACTCGTGGTCGCGGCAGACCCCGTGGCCGCAAGCGGCGTCCCCTCAAGCGAGGTCAGCCTGACGCCTTGGCTCGCTCTGGCGCTGAAGGTCCCTTAAGCCCTTTGCCTCCCCGTGGAAAGGTCGCTGGCTCTCTCGGGCAGCAGAAGAAACAACGGAGGGCCGGTGCCCTGTGCAGAATTGCACGGAGTTAAAAAATAGCCAGGGCTGTGAACAATGGGGATGTCTCCTGGTCTGGCTTTAAACAAAGCAGCTCATTTCTGCTGTCCCAGGGCAGTCAAATAATTTGCAAGCACCGCTTTCATGCCGCCTCCCATGTCCCCCCGCGGGCTTGTTTTAGATTATCCTGTGAATATATTTAATCCTTTCTACTTTTAAACAAACTGCCAGGAAGGCTTGCCAGAAACTAACTGCGGAGCGGGAAGGGAACGCACTGAAATGTCAACGGTTTTGGCCGCCCCTGGGGTGTTTGGGCTGCTTCCAGGGCTCGGGAGGCATGGTTGAGTGGGGATGTCCTCGTGTAACTCCGCTAGCACAGCTCCAAACTGAAAGCCTGTGGATGCCTTCAGCCCCTGAGAGCCTGATGGCTCTTTGTGCCCCTCTCGGCACAGAGAGCAAAAATGTCCGTCCCGAGAAACGCCGCCAAACTGAGCCAGCAGCTCCCACGTGGCACGGGGCGACGTCCCGCTCGGCGATGGTTAGAGATTCGCGCGCGGCATTGAAACTCTGCGGTCTGTGTCCCGGCAGGCGGAGAGGGAGAGCTGCATCGCCGTGCAGTGCTCGGACTCCGCGCTGCGCTTGACCCCCAGGAAGAACACGTGCCTGTTTCGGAGCCACCCTGCGCCCGCCATCTGCGCTCCCGGCGCTCGTGCCGTGCCAGCACAGCAGCGAGGGATGCAAAGTGAGGTGTTCCAGCAGCAAGCTGCTGAGGTGAGCAGTTCCCCTCTTGAGTTTTTTCATCCCTGGTTGCTCGTGGTTTGACCTGGACAGGCTGGAGAGGTGGGGGCATGGGAACCTCATGAGGTTCAACAAGGCCAAGGGCAAGGTCCTGCCCCTGGGTC